TTTACTGGTCTTCTTTGTTTTCTTGGATGCTTTATGACTTTTGACTCATGGTTAAGAAAATGAAACAAAACCATCCAGAGAATTAAATGATTGATACTAGGGTGTACTACCTAATTAGTAGAAAAATAAACTTGAGTTCAAAATATAAAAACTAAGTTCAATAGTTGTACAATTCACAGTTGTATTCTTTTCTCACAGGTCAGACATCAGAAGTTCTTTGGCTGTTTACATCCTGTTCTTGGATTTCCATTTCATGAAGTTATCTAGATTTGAATTTCATGCCAATTGCAGACACTGTCCCTCTTGAGAGCTAAAAAACACACAGTTTATTATTTTGTTCAAAGCTGCTGCAGTTTTTCAGAGGGATTTATTGTGCAGATCTTTTCAAAGCAATACTGTTTACCCACCATTTGTATACAGGAGTACAACAGCACAGTGTAGTTGGGACTACAGAGAAAACATTGTGTTAAGTTAGGTAAGCCCAGTGATGTAAATATGGGGTAATTGACAAAGCTTTTAGAAAAACAAGATTTATTAATCCAATAGTGTTTGAAGGCTCAACCTTTAAATATTTACCATTTTCACATTGCAGATTTCAAAGGATTTTTGATCAGGAGGCAAACCAAGAGACCATTTTTGAAAACATTGCCAAACCAGTTGCTGAAAGGTAGGATTTCCCATATTTTGTGCAGTGGGTTAGTGGTTTTTCATCTTGTCTTCAATTCTCAGATAATTGTGGTAATGTACTTTAGTGTATCAATTATATACTGAGGCTGCGGGTCATGTAATGACGACAGCAGCACAGTACTTCAAGCGTGGTTAGATGGAGAAAGGGTAAGGTGTGAGTGGCACCTGGGACACCTAATGATGGTCGGTCCTTCTCTACCTCAGTCACATTTCAAAGCTTGACCCTTGGTTTCTAGGTCTCTTTGCTTCAGTATATCCACATAGTTCCAAGCTGCTGTTAGAACTAAACTCACATGAGAATACCGAACAAATAAGAATGCCAATTTATTAATATGTATTGGCAAAGTCTCCTAGGGACTAGCCACTCAAGCCCTTTGATAAGCACACTGTCCTCTTGTAGGGAATCTGTAGGGGAAACTACTACTAACAAGGTTGCTTTCTGATGTTGAAATCATTTGGACGATTTTATGACCTAATAATCCTAAGATATAGTCTAAACGAACCTAATTTTCAAGTCCACTAATCAGTATACCCTTTTTAATGGACATTTCTGGAAACACAGTGTCATATTTTGTCTCTCAAACTGGTGTTTTATGAATCCTACTTAAGCCAAACCTTTCTCTTTTAATACAGTCTTCTTTCATTAGGTGAATTACAATCAAGTAGGCCTAAACTATTTTAATTATAATCCAGTAACACCTCTTTGATTAAATTCAGGTCCCCTTGATTGGATGTTAAACATTTCTAAACCATCCTTCCTCTCAGTGATCATCTCGGTACACCATTTTTCAGATAGCCGATCTCATGTGTTTTATTTTGAAACTTCATGAAACCATTTGGAGAGGGAACCTTAGTTTCTATTTCATAAATGCCTGGGTTTTCTTGCCATTACTGAGTCTCTTTCTCTCATCTTGATCCTACTTTCTCCTCCAGCTACTGCCCCTTTCCTCAGCTTTTCTTTATAGAAAATTTATGTGAAACGGTTGTCTTTATTCACTACTTCGTGCCTCTCTTAAACCCTGTTCTTATCAGGTTTTGGTCTCCACTGCTCCATTAAAATTGTTTTTGTCAAAATCAGCTATGACTTCTATTTGGTAAATTTAATAATGGTCATTTGTCAGCCCTCATGTTATTTGGTATATCCACTATTTGACACAGTTAATTACTCCGTCCTCCTCCAGCCACTTTCTTCACTTGGCACCCTCTCCTGGTTTTCCACTTACCTTACTGGCCATTCCTTCTCAGTGAATTTACTTAGATTTCATTGTACACAGTGATCATTTGCTCTTGCTGTTCCCTCTGCCTGGAATTCTCTTCCCTCAGAAATCTGCATAGGTGCTTCTTCAGCAACTTGAAGTCTTTGCTCATATGCCGCTTTCTCCACGAAGCCTTTCTTTACTGCGCTATTCAGAATTGCATATTTGACCCTTCGCTATCTTGCTTTATTTCTTTTAGCACCTATTACCATCTGACATGCTGTATAGTTCGTAAGTTTTTGTGTCTGTCTTCATCCACAAGGACAAAAGCTCCATGAAGGCAGGGGCTTTGCTTTGTTCACTGACTTGACAAACACAGGCAACTCAATGAGACAAGATTTCAAAAGTGACAGGCAAGAGCATGTTTATCCAAGCAGCTCAAGCTGGTCCTAGTGGGTCCTATCTTTTATCAATAGGAAATATTCCTCTTTGTGCTTTTTATTACTTTTCTCCTTGTATCTGTGTTTTTTTCCCCCTCAAACTAGTTTTGCTATTTTTTCTTCTGTTACCCTTTGTCTGGTTTATCTTTCTCTGTCTCTTAGTTCAGATGCCTTGTGACATTTTCGTTTTAAGTGTGGGCCTGGTAAATAAAACATAGCTGCATTTACCTTTGTAGCCAAACCCAGAGTCACTTATCTTTAATTGGTTACTTTAAACCATTTATATTTGTTATGATTACCATACCAATATTTGGAGTTATTCCTCTTTTCTTATTTTATTTTTTCCATTTATTATACTTGCCATAATATTTTTTTCCTTTCTTGCTTTTCATTGGTTTATGCTCTTTACTGTTGTTCTTGCTGCTTCCATTTTATCTCTCAAGTTGGCCATTGTACTTCAACACCT